CTCTTATCCAACACCCTGTCCCTCTGCCCCTCCCTCCGTCCGTCTGTCCATCCCCAGGCGTGGAGCTGACCCCGGCGGCGCCCGACACGCGCGGAACGGACACGAGTGGATCTGACTCTGGCACGATGGACACGCTTGGAAATGTCACGCGTGGATCTGAAACTCACACGATGGTCACACGTGTAAATATCACTCGTGAAAGGGACACGATCACATCCCTTCCACACTCACCTGATACACATGAAGCGCGCATGCGTGGCTCTGACACACGTGGAAATGTCATGCACGCCTCCCCCGCTCCCCCCGTGCTGCGCGAGGCGCCCACGGAGTTCGTGTCGGCCCACGCGGGCCTCACCCTGCACCTGCCCTGCACAGCCCAGGCCTGGCCCCCTGTGGCCCTGCACTGGCGTCTGCCTGACGGGACCCACGCGAGACCCGTGCATGCGCACACGCACCCTCGACTCAGTGACGTCTACGTCCTTCCCAATGGCACGCTGGTGCTGCGCCGCCTGCAGGCCCCGCGCCATGCCGGTGAGTACGAGTGCGTGGCCGCCAACGCGCTGAGCAGCGCGAGACGCACTGTGCACGTCGAAGTCACGCCCGCGCCCGCGCGTCTCCCCCCCAGCGTCCGACCCCGAGGCCCGCTCGCCACGCGCGTGCCCCACGGCGCTGACCTCACGCTGCACTGCCACGCGCGCGGGGATCCCGCCCCACGCGTGTTCTGGAGGCTGCCAGACGGGCACCTGGTGGATGCTGGGAGCAGGTGAGTGTGGGAAGTGGGGGGCATCCATCCATCCATTCACCCGTTCATCTACCCATCCATACATCCATCCATCCACCCATCCATCCATCCACCCATCCATCCATCCACCCACCCACCCATCCATCCACCCACCCATCCATCCATTCATCTACCCATCCATCCATCCACCCATCCACCCTTCCATCCATCCATCCACCCACCCATCCATCCATCCATCCACCCATCCATTCATCCCTCCATCTACCCACCCATCCACCCATCCATCCATCCCTCCATCCATCCATCCATCCACCCATCCACTCATCCATCCATCCACCCATCCATCCATCCATCCCTCCATCCGTCCACCCATCCACTCATCCATCCACCCACCCATTCATCCACCCACCCATCCATCGATCCACCCATCGATCCATCCATCTACCCATCCATCCACCCATCCATCCATCCACCCATCCATCCATCCACCCATCCATCCACTCATCCATCCACCCATCCATCCATCCATCCATCCACCCATCCATCTATCCACCCATAGTTGGGATAAAGATGATACCCCTTGATAGATAGTTAATTGATAGAGGATGGATTAGACAGATGATGTAGACACAGTAGACCATAGATAACAAATCGATTATCCATTAAATATTGATAGAGATGAGGTGGGGATGGTAGATCCATTAGCAGTGAATAGGTAATTGATAGGTCCTGGCTTGCCAGATCGCAAGGTAGAACCCTAGTGATCGATCATTGATAGATGATCGGTCAGGGATCGATACAAGATGAGTATTGGATGCATATGTCACATGTGCGAATAACTAACATTGGCTTCAAATTTGTCTTCCCTTCCTTATGGTCTTTCCTCCTATTACTTCCTTCCCTCCTTCCTTCCTTCCTTCCCTCCTTTCTTCCTTCCCTTCTTCCTTCCTTCCCTTATTCCTTCCTTCCCTCCTTCCCTTCTTCCTTCCTTCCCTCCGATCCTTCCTTCCTTCCCTCCAAGCTTTCCTTCCCTCCAATCCTTCCTTCCAATCCTTCCCTCCAACCTCCCTTCCCTACATTCCCTCCTTCCCTCCAATCCTTCTATCCTTCCTTCCCTCCAATCCTTCGTTCCTTCCCTCCAATCCTTCCATCCTTCCTTCCCTCCAATCCTTCCTTCCCTCCCTCCAATCCTTCCTTCCTTCCCTCCCTCCAATCCTTCCTTCCTTCCTTCCAATCCTTCCTTCCTTCCTTCCCTCCAATCCTTCCTTACTTCCCTCCAATCCTTCCATCTTTCCTTCCGTCCAATCCTTCCAATCCTTCCCTCCAATCCTTCCTTCCCTCCTTCCTTCCCTACATTCTCTCCTTCCTTCCCTCCAATCCTTCCTTTACCCTTCCCTCCTTCCTTCCCTCCTTCTTTCCTTCCTTCCTTCCTTCCTTCCTTCCTTCCTTCCTTCCTTCCTTCCTTCCTTCCTTCCTGCCCTCCCTTCCCCTCCCCTCCCCAGCTCTGACATCCGGGTCCGCGCCTTTTCCAACGGCACGCTCTCCGTGCGTCCGGTGACGTCACGTGATGCGGGGGAGTACGTGTGCGTGGCGCGCAACGCGGCGGGCGACGCGCATGCACGGCTGCGCGTGGAGTTGATGGCTGGGCCAGGTGCCTCCTATCTGCAACCCGGGCTTCCCGTGACCCCCGTGACCCCCGTGACCCAGGACGCCGACCCCAGGGAGGACTGCACTGCCTACCACCGCCTCCAGGTCCCATCCGGTGTCCTGGGAGACCCGGATGTTCGGGTCGTGAGGCCTGATGGGAGTGTGGGGAACTGGGACCTGGGGCCTGGGTTAGACCTCGGATGTGTGACCACAGCTGGGGGGGCGGGGCCTGGGGCGGGTTCTTCCTCTTCCTCTCAGTCACTTCCGTCTTCCTCTTCCTCTTCATTTCCTGTTTCCTCTTCCTTTCCTTCTTCCTCTTCCTCTCCATCTCTTCCTTCCTCTTCCTCTCACCATCCTTCATCTTCTTCCTTTTCCTCTGCTTCCTCTTCTTCTTTTCCTTCTTCCTCTTCCTTTCCTTCTTCCTCTCATCCCTTCCTGTTCTCTTCCTCTCAATCTCTTCCTTCTTCTTCTTCTTCCTTTCCTTCCTCTTCCTCTTCTCAGTCTCTTCCTTCTTCCTCTTCTTCCTTTCCTTCCTCTTCCTCTTCTTCACATTCTTTTCCTGCTTCCTCTTCCTTTCCTTCTTCTTCCTCTTCTCCATCTCTTCCTGCTTCCTCTCATGTTTCTTCTTCCTCTTCCTTTCCTTCTTCCTCTTCTTCCTCTTCCTTTCAGCCTCTTCCTTCTTCCTCTTCATTTTCTGTTTCCTCTTCCTCTTCACTTCCTGGTTACTCTTCACTTCCTGGTTCCCCTTCACTTCCTGCTTCACTTCCGGCTTCCTCTTCCTCTCCCACTTCCACCCTGCTGCCCCCTGAGCTCTCCGTCCCCTACGGCGCCCCAGTGACCCTCACGTGCCCAGTGACGCGAGGGTCGCGCGCGGTGACGTGGCTGACGCCGGCCTTGCGCCCCATGGCCTTCACTTCCGGCCCAGAGGACGCCCACTTCCGGGTGCTGCCGGACGGGCGTCTGCGCCTGCGCGGGGTGCGGCGGGCCGACGCAGGCACGTACACGTGCGTGGCGGGGCGGGGCTGGCGCGCCACCGTGCGCCTACACGTGCAGCTGCGGGCGCCGCGCATCCGGGTCACGCCTGACGTCCATGACGACGTGAACGACGACATCCGGGTCTCCCCCGTGGTGCGTCTGCGCGTGCGCTGCCAGGCGGATGGCGTCCCCGAGCCCCGCCTGCTGTGGGAACTTCCGGGTGGGCTGGTACTTCCAGTCCCGTATCGCAGTCGCACGGGGGGAGGGATCAGCGTGGATGCGCACGGGACGTTGGAAATCCCGGATGTGCGTGCGCTGCACAGCGGTGGCAGCGATGCCGTGGTGTGCGTGGCGCGCAACCCAGCGGGCGAAGCCCGGATGTGGGTGCGGCTGCCGCCATGGTGGGTGCGGGCTCTCCCCCCTGCGGCGTCGGCCCCGCCCTCTGAGGCGTTGACTCTGCCCCCTGTTGCGCCGGCTCCGCCCCATCACGCACCTGCCCCGCCATCTTGGGCGCTGACTCCGCCCCCTGGTGCGCTGGCTCCGCCCTCTGAGGCAGCTCCGCCCCCTGGCCCGCCTGCCCCGCCATCTTGGGCGCTGACTGCACCCCCTGACGCACCGACTCTGCCCTCTGAGGCACTGACTCCACCCCCTGGGGCGGCGCCGGGGGCGGCGCTGCGTGTGGTGCTGGGCGGCAGCTTCCGGCTGCGCTGCCCCACCTCCACGCTTCCGGTGTCCTGGCGCCTGCCCGGGGGGCTGGTGCTGCGTGGGCCGCAGAGGCATGGCCGCTTCACGTTGGGCGCCGACGGCAGCCTGGAGGTGCGCGCCGCCTCCGAGCGCGACCGCGGCGCCTACGTCTGCCACGCCCACCCCGGGGCGCCGCCCAGACACGACCCCCGTGTGCCAGAGACCCGGATGTTCAGCTTCATTCCCGCCACTAGGCCGCTGGGTGCCATGGCAGGGCAATGGACTGAGGAGACCCTGATGTGGGGCTTCATTCCCGCCGGTAGGCCGCGGCGTTCGGTTGCCGGGCAACCAAGTGAAGATACCAGGACATTGGGCTCCACCGCAGCGTCTAGGCCTCTGTGTTCGGTTGCCAGGCAACAGACCGAGAAGACCCGGATGTGGGGCTTCATTCCTGCCTTTAGGCCGCTGGGTTCGGTTGCCGGGAAAGTGCGTGAGACCCGGATGTCCGGCTCCAGCAAGACTCCTGGGCCCCAGCCGGAAGATGACCGGATGTGGGGCTCCAAACCTGCATGTGCTGTACAGAAGCTGCAGTCTGACCAGAGGCCACGGAGAGGCTAGGACCCGGATGTGGACTGGGAGGGACCCGGATGTGGACTGGGAAAGACCCAGATGTCACCTATCTCTGGGTCCACTGAGGTGCCAGGACCCAGATGTGAACTGGGAGAAACCCGGATGTCACCTATCTCCGGGTCCACTGAGGGGCCAGGACCCGGATGTGGACTAGAAGGGACCCGGATGTCACTTTCTTCCATGTCCACTGACCCGGATGTGGCATGGAGAAACCGGATGTCACTTTCCTCCAGATGCACTGATGGGTCAGGATCCGGATGTGGACTAGGAGGGACCCGGATGTTACCTTCCTTCATGTCCACTGAGGGGCCAGTACACGGATGTGGACTGGGAGGGACCCGGATGTCTCCCTCATTTGTGTCCACTGACCCAGATGTGGCCTGGGGAACCCGGATGTCACTTATCTCCAGGTCCACTGAAGGGCCAGGACCCGGATGTGGACTGGGGGACCCGGATGTCACCCTCCTCCGTGTCCACTCTCCCGGATGTGGCGTCAGGGACCCAGATGTCACTTATCTCCAGGTCCACTGAGGGGCCAGGACCCGGATGTGGACTGGGGGACCCGGATGTCACCTATCTCCAGGTCCACTGAGGGGCCAGGACCCGGATGTTGCATGGGGAACCCGGATGTTATGTAAGTCCGCGTCCATTAACCTGGATGTGGACTGTGGCAGGGACCCAGATATGTGCTGGGCAGGACCCGGATATCACATCCACAGGCCTGGCTGTGGCGTGTGGAGTCCCGGATGTCATGCTCCTCTCCTTCCACTGACAGGGTCTAGGACCCAGATGTGGTGTGGGGATCCCGGATGTCAGGTCCCTCCACATCCACTGAGGGTCCAGGACCAAGATGTGGAATGGGAACTACCCAGATGTTAGGGACCTCCAGGTCCATGAACCTGGATGTGGGGTGAGTACCCAGATGTTAGGGACCTCCAGGTCCATGAACCTGGATGTGGGGTGAGTACCCAGATGTTAGGGACCTCCAGGTCCGTGAACCCGTATGTGGGGTCGGTACCCAGATGTTAGGGATCTCCAGGTACGGGAACCCAGATGTGGAGGCGAGTACCAGGATGTTACTTAACTCCAGGTCCACTGGCAGGCGCCAGGACCCGGATGTGAGGGGTTTGGACCCGGATGTGAGGGTTGGGACCCAGATGTGAGGGGTTGAGACCCAGATGTGAGAGGTGGAACCCAGATGTGGGCGGAGCGGGCACTCCACACCTTGGCCCCGGGCTCCAGCTGCGCTTTGGCCGTTGGGGTCCTTTCCCAGACTCGGAGGCAATAAAGCAGCCATGCTGCTTCTGGATGGAATTCTTCCTCACTTCCGCCCCCCAGCGCAGGCCAAGCCCTCCTGAGTCCCTCACTTCCTCCCCAGCCCAGGCCACACCCTCCTGAGCTCTGGCACGCCCTACTGAGCACAGGCCACGCCCCCTGGGCACAGGCCACGCTCCCTGACGGTCCTGACTCTTATTGCAGCCCTCCATGTAGTTCTCGAGGTTTCCCTCCTCCCCTTCCTCCTGCCTCTGCCAGGCCTGGCAATTTCTTGGCGCCCAGCCCAGAAACTCCAGGCTTTTCCCTTTCTTCCCTGCCTTCCCCTTCAGCACCACATCCTGTTCCTTTCCAAGGAACAAGGGGACTTTTATTTTGGAGGGGGGTTGTGGAGTTCTGGCTGCTGGAGTGACGTGGACATTTGACCCCTGCGAGCTTCCTGGCTGGCAGGGAGAGCAGCAGGCCCAGGCGCTGATGGCAGAGAACTGTGGATGTGAGTTCGTCCTCTGGGGAACACGGGGAGAGGTGTGGGGACCCGGGGTGGGGGGGCTTCGATTGCTTTTTGGAGCCCCCCCGGATGTCCCACCATGCCCTGGGGTGGGGGCTGCAGGGCCCTGCCACAAGCCTGGAAAGACAAGGTGAGGGGCTGATGTACTGGTGGGGGCAACAGCAGCCTGGCCCTGGGGTGGCCGGATGTTCCTCAGCTCTTCCCCACTTCCTGCTTCCGGCCTTCTCTTCCAGGAAACGGGGAGCATCATGGGAAGGATGCGATCCTGGGCGCCATGTTGGTCAGGAGAGGGCCTGGAGGGAGGGGGAGTCCTCCCATCCCTCCTCCCATCCACGCATCCATCCATCCACCCATCCATCCACCCATCCATCCACCCACCCATCCACCCAACCATCCATCCACCCACCCATCCATCCATCCATTCACCCATCCACCTATTCATCCACCCATCCATCCACCCATCCATCCATCCATCCATCCACCCATCCACCTATTCATCCATCCATCCATCCATCCACCCACCCATCCACCCATCCACCCATCCATCCATTCATCCATCCACCCACCCATCCATACATACACCCACCCACCCATCCATCCATCCACCCATCCATCCATCCACCCACCCATCCATCCATCCACCCATCCACCCATCCATCCATCTACCCATCCACCCATCCATCCATCCACTCATCCACCCATCCACTCATCCATCCAACCATCCATCCATCCACCCATCCATCCATCCATCCATCCACCCATCCACCTATCCATCCAACCATCCATCCATCCACCCATCCATTCACCCATCCATCCATCCATCCACCCATCCACCTATCCATCCATCCATCCACCCATCCATCCACCCATCCACCCCTCCTCCTCCTCTCTCTCCTCCTCAGGTCGCACAGCAGCTGCGCAGCCCCACCCCTCGCCTTCCTCCTCCTCCTCCTCCCCCCTGTCCCCTGCGCAGGCCCCGCCCCCTCGCGCCCCAACTTCCTGCTGCTCTTGGCCGACGACCTGGGCCTGGGCGACCTGGGCAGCTTCGGGAACCGCAGCCTGCGGTGAGCAGAGGGGGAGGCCCGGATGTAGGGCCTTAGTTACCCGGATGTGGGAGCTCAGATCCCTGGATGTTCCACCAGGAGAACTGTATAGACATCTAGTAACTCAGTTCCCCGGATGTTGGATGTTAGTATCGTGGATGTTGGATATCAAATCCCCGGATGTTGGATCTTAGTGCCCCGGATGTTGGATATCAGGTCCCCAGATGTTACATGTTAGTACCCCGGATTTGAAGACCAGGTCCCCGGATGTTGGAGACCAGGTCCCCGGATGTTGGATCTTAATGCCCCGGATGTTGGATATCAGGTCCCCGGAAGTTAAATCTTAATACCCCGGATGTGGGAAATCAGGTTCCCGGATGTTGGACTTCAGTTCCCTGGATGTTGGATGTTAGTACCCCGGATGTTGGAGACTAGGTCCCCGGATGTTGGATGTTAGTGCCCTGGATGTTGGATATCAGGTCCCTGGATGTTAAATCTTAGTACCCCGGATGTGGGAGATTATGTCCCCAGATATTGGACTTCAGTGCCCCAGATGTAGGAGCTCAGGTCCCCAGATGTTGGAGGTTAGTGCTCCGAATGTGGGAGCTCAGGTCCCCGGATGTTAGCTATTAGTACCCTGGATGTTGTAGCTCAGTGCCCCGGATGTTGGATCTTATTCCTCTGGATGTAGGAGCCCAGGTGCCTGGATGTTAGATCTTAGTGTCCTGGATGTTGGATATCAGGTCCCCGATGTTAGATGTTAGTACCCCGGATGTTGGATATCAGATCCTCGGATGTGGGATGTTAGTGCCCTGGATGTTGAAGGACAGGTCCACGGATGTTAGATCTTAATGCCCCGGATGTGGGAAATCAGGTTCCCGGATGTTAGATGTTAGTGCTCCGGATGTTGGAGATCAGGTCCCCGATGTTGGAGATCAGGTCCCCGGATGTTGAATCTTACTGCCCTGGATGTTGGATATCAGGTCCCCGGATGTTACATGTTAGTACCCCAGATGTTAGAGCTCAGTTCCCCGGATGTTCCACCAGGAGAACTGTATAGACATCTAGTGGACCTCAGGTCCCCGGATGTTGGATGTTAGGTCCCCGGATGTTGGAGTTCAATTCCCAGGATGTTAGATCTCAGTTCCCTGAATGTTGAAGATCAGGTCCCCGGATGTTGGATATCAGATCCCTGGATGTGGGATGTTAGTGCCCCGGATGTTGGAGATCAGGTCCTCGGATGTTAAATCTTAGTATAACCCAGATGTGGGAAATCAGGTTCCCAGATGTTAGATGTTAGTACCCCAGATGTTGGAGATCAGGCCCCCGGATGTTGGATATCAGATCCCTGGATGTTGGATCTTAGTGTCCCAGATGTTGGAGACCAGGTACCCAGATGTTTGAGCTCAGGTCCCAGAGGTTGGATCTTAGTTGTCCGGATGTAGGCCCTCAGGTCCCCGGATGTTGGGCCTTAGATCCCCGGATGTAGGAGTCCAGTCCACAGATATAGATCTTAGTACCCTGGATGTGGGATCTCAGGGCCCCAGATGTTGGACCTTAGATCCCAGGATGTTGGACCTCAGGTCCCCAGATGTTGGATCTTAGTATCCCGGATGTGGGATCTCAAGTCCCCGGATGTTGGATCTTAGATCCCCGGATGTGGGATCTCAGGGCCCTGGATGTTGGAGTTCAGCTCCTGGGATGTTGTGCATTAGATCCCCGGATGTTAGACCCCAGGTCCCCGTATGTTCTAGGCTGTGACTCAGTTTTCCTCTCCCCCCACAGCACCCCGCACCTGGACGGCCTGGCCCGGGACGGCGTGCGGCTGACCCAGCACCTGGCGGCAGCGTCCGTCTGCAGCCCGAGCCGTGCGGCCTTCCTGACGGGACGCTACCCTGTGCGCCTGGGTCGGTATGGGGGGGTGGGACATTTGGGGAATGGAGGGGGCGGTGGGGGGGAGGTGGGGGCGGGACATCCGGGGATCTGAGAGCCAACATCTGGGGTACTAAGATCCAACATCCATGGACCTGATATCCAACATCTGGGGATCTGAGACCCAACATCGGGGATCTAAAGCCTAACATCCGGGGAACTGAGCACCAACATCCAGGGCACTGAGCTCTAACATCCAGGGACTTCATCTCTGACATCCAGTTACTAAGATCCAACATCCGGGGATCTGAGCACCAACATCCGGGGCACTGAACTCTAACATCTGGGGACCTTATCTCTAACATCCATTGTACTAAGATCCAACATCCGGGGATCTGAGGCCTAACATTCTGGGAACTGAACTCCAACATCCGAGGACCTGACATCCACCATCCGGGGTACTAAGATCCAACATCCGGGAACCTAAGCCCCAACATCCAGGGAACAGAGCTCCAACATCTGGGGATCTGAGGGCCAACATACTCGAATCTGAGCTCCAATATCCGGGGTTGTAAGATCCAACATCCAGGGAACTGAGCTACAACATCTGGGTAACTGAAGTCCAACATCTGGGGTCCTGATATCCACCATACAGGGCACTGAACTCCATCATCCGGGGATCTGAGGGCCAACATCCGGGATACTAACATCAAACATCCGGGGACCTGAGGTCCAACATCCAGGGAACTGAGGCTCAACATCTAGGGCACTGAGGTCCATCAGAGGGAGGGGAGGGCTACTCTGAGGATCTCAGGTTCAAATTCCTGAGACTCTGGGACTTCCCCCCTGAAACGCCAGGAAACCGGAAGTGATGCCATATTGGTTTCCCCCGGGGGCTCACAGGGCTGGGGTCCTTTCCACCCCGGGTGCGCAGGTCCCAGGCTATCCCAGACACAGCAGGCCTTCCCCCTGAAGGTGCTAGATACCCCCTCCTGACCCGGGACGCCATCATCACTGACCTAGGGTCCTTCTCCTCTCTCTTGGAAGGCATGGTGACCACCAACGGGGCGCGCGTGCTGCAGTGGGCAGCCGTGTCGGGCGGGCTGCCCACCTCCGAGATCACCTTCGCCAAGATCCTGCAGGAGCAGGGATATGCCACCGGCCTCATAGGTAAGAAAGAAGTCATCCATCCACCCATCCATCTATCCACCCATCCCCCATCCATCCACCCATCCATCCATCCATCCACCCATCCATCCATCCATCCATCCATCCACCCATCCATCCATCCATCCATCCATCCACCCATCCACCCATCCATCCATCCATCCACTCATCTATCCATCCATCCATCCATCCACCCACCCATCCACCCACCCAACCATCCACCCACCCATCCATCCACCCATCCATCCACCCATCCATTCACTCATCCATCCATCTCTTCCCCTCCAGGCAAATGGCACCTGGGCCTCAACTGTGAGTCCCCCACTGACCACTGCCACCACCCCCTGAACCACGGGTTTGACTCCTTCTTCGGGGTCCCCTTCACCCTGATGGGGGACTGCCTGCAAGCGGAGCCCTCGGAGAAGCGAGCGCGTCTGCAAGGGCCCCTGGACCTGGGGGCTCAGCTGCTGCTGCTTTCCCTGCTCTGCCTGGCCACTGGGAAGGTCACGGGCCTGCTGGGCCTGCGCTGGGTGCCCTGGGTGCTGGGCCCCGGATGTGGGGCCTTGCTCCTGGCCTGCACCTCCCGCCTCCTGGGTATCTTCATCGTCCATGCTGACTGCTTCCTGATGAGGGATCACCAGGTCGTCCAGCAGCCTCTGAGGTTTGAGGCCAGCGCGGGGCTCTTCTTGCGGGAGGCTGAGGCCTTCATCCACAGGTCAGCCTGGGGTCGGGGAGGGGGACCAATTCCATCTACTAGATCTCTATAGTCAACTGGTAGACCTTAGATCCCTGGATGTACATCCAGTAGATCTCTATAGACATCTGGTAGACCTCAGGTCCCCGGATGTTCCATCTAGTAGATCTGTAGAGACATCTGGTAAACCTCAGATCAGACCATGATCGATTATTGGTAGTATTGATCAGATCATGATCGATTATTGGTAATAACTGATCAGCTCATGTTCAATTATTGGTATTATCGATCAGATGATGTTCGATTATTGGTATTATCGATCACATCACAATCGAATATTGGTATTATTGATCAGATCCTGTTCGATTATTAGTAATATCTGATCAGCTCATGTTCTATTATTGGTCATATCGATCAGATGTTTGATTATTGGTAATAACTGATCAGATCTGTTTGATTATTGGTAATAACTGATCGGATCACGATTTTGGTATTTTTGATCAGATCACTATTGATTATTGGTATTATCGATCAGATCATGATCGATTATTGGTATTATCGATCAGATCAGGATCGATTATTGGTAATATCTGATCAGATCAGGATCAATTATCGATCATCTGATCGATTATTGGCAATACCTGATCAGGTCGGTTATCAGTGAGGTTATTGATGGTGGGGGCGGGGTCTGACGTGGATCCGCAGGCACCAGGCCCGCCCCTTCCTCCTCCTCGTCTCCTTCCTCCACGTCCACGTCCCGCTGGTCACCTCACCTGCCTTCCGGGGCCGCAGCGCGCACGGCGCCTACGGCGACAACGTGGAGGAGCTTGACTGGATGGTGGGTGAGTGCGGGGGGGCAGGAACTGAGGCATGGTGCGTGGGATGGGGGAAACAGAGGCACGGGGGTGGGGTGAGCAGGATAGGGAAACTGAGGCATGGGGACGGGGTGAGCGGGATGGGGAAACTGAGGCACAGGGGTGGGGTGAGTGGGTTGGGGGAAACTGAGGCACAGAGATGGGGTGAGCGGGATGGGGGAAACTGAGGCATGGGAACGGGGTCAATGGGTTGGGGTAAACTGAGGCACGGTGCATTTGGGTAAACTGAGGCACGGGGACGGGGTCAGTGTGTTGGGGATAAACTGAGGCATGGGGTTTGGGTAAACTGAGGCATGGTGCATTTGGGTAAACTGAGTCACTGGGCATGTTGGGGGTAAACTGAGGCACGGTGCACTTGGGTAAACTGAGGCACGGTGCATGTTGGGTAAACTGAAGCACGGTGCATGTTCAGGGTGAACTGAGGCACGGTGCATTTGGGTAAACTGAGGTACGGTGGATGTGGGTAAACTGAGGCCCGAGTATAGGGGTAAACTGAGGCACGGTGCATGTTGGGTAAACTGAGTCACTGGGTATTGGGGTAAACTGAGGCACGGTGTATTTGGGTAAACTGAGGCATGGTGCATGTTGGGTAAACTGAGTCACTGGGCATGTTGGGTAAACTGAGACATGGTGCATGTTGGGTAAACTGAGGCACGGGGACGAGGTGAGTGGGTTGAGTAAACTGAGGCACCGGGATGGGAGTAAACTGAGGCACGGGGACGGGGTCAGCGGGTTGGGGTAAACTGAGGCACGGTGCATTTGGGTAAACAGGCACGGTGCACTTGGGTAAACTGAGGCCCAAATATAGGGGTAAACTGAGGCACGGTGCATGTTTAGGGTAAACTGAGGCACGGTGCACTTGGGTAAACTGAGGCAAAGTGCATTTGGGTAAACTGAGGCACAGTGCATGTTGGGGGTAAACTGAGGCACAGTGCATTTGGGTAAACTGAGGCCCGGTGAGCGTTGGGGGTAAACTGAGGCACGGTGGGTGCCTGTTGGGTAAACTAAGTCACTGGGCATTGAGGATAAACTGAAGCACGATGGAAATTTGTAAACTGAGTCATGATGCATGTTGGGTAAACTGAGGCACTGTGGATGCTGGGGGTAAACTGAGGCACGGACCCATTTTCCCCCCCTCCCCCCCCCCGCAGGGCGACTGCTGGCAGCGCTGGACGGTGCGGGGCTGGGGCGCCGCACCCTCGTCTACTTCACGTCGGACCACGGTGCCTCACTGGAGGCCCGGGCTGGGGGCGCCCGCCTCGGGGGTTCCAACGGCGTGCACCGAGGCGAGGGGGAAACTGAGGCAGGGTGGGCGGGGCCTCCCACGCAGCCCGACCCCGCCCCTTGACCTTTGCCCTCCGCCCCCCCTTGCAGGTGGCAAAGGCATGGGCGGCTGGGAGGGCGGCATCCGGGTCCCTGGGCTGGTGCGCTGGCCCAGGACACTGCCCGCAGGGCGCCTGGTGCCTGAGCCCACCAGCCTCATGGACCTGTTCCCCACCGTGGTGCGCCTGGCCGGGGGCTGGGTTCCGGCGGACAGGTAGGAGTTCGCCTGCCTGGGTCCCCACGGGGTGGAGGAGAAGGGGGGTCATCTGGGGCCTCGGGGATCCCGAGGGGGGGGAGGCTGAGGCCTGCACATCCGGGTCTCTGGTTGCTCAGAAGCCTGCACATCTGGGTCTTTGAGGGCTCAGACCTGCACATCCGGGTCTCTGGGGGCTCAGGAGCCTGCACATCCGGGTCTCTAAGACCCAAGACCCGGGGCTCAGGCCTTGACATCGGGTCTCTGGGGGCTCAGAAGCCTTTACATCCGGGTAACTAAGGGCTCAGGCCTGCAAATCTGGACCTCTGAGCACTCAGAAGCCTGGACATCTGGTTCTCTGAGGACTCAGGCCTTCATATCCGGGTCTCTAAGGCATCAGGGCTGCACATCCAGGTCTCTGAGTACCTAGGCCCAGGTCTCAGGCCTGGACATCCAGGTCTCTGAGGGCTCAGGCCTGCACATCCGGGACTCTGGGATCTCAGGCCTGCACATCCGGGTCTCTGAGCGCTCAGAAGCTTGGATATCTGGGTCTCTGAGGCCTCAGGCCTGCACATCCAGGTCTCTAAGACCAGAGGCCTGGGTCTTAGACCTGCACATCCGGGTCTCTGGGGGCTCAGAAACCTGGACATCTGGGTCTCTGGGATTTCTGGCCTGCACATCCGGGCCTCTGAGCGCTCAGAAGACTGCACATCCGGGTCTCTGAGTGTTCAGGAGCCTGGACATCCGGGTCTTGAAGGCCTCAGAAGCCTGCACATCCAGGTCTCTGAGGGCTCAGAAGCCTGCACATCCGGGTCTCTAAAGGCTCAAGCCTTGACATCCAGGTCTCTGGGATCTCTGGCCTGCACATCCGGGTTTCTGGGGGCTCTGGCCTGCACATCCGGGTCTCTGAGTGCCCAGAAGCCTGCACATCCGGGTCCCGCAGGGAGGTGGACGGCCGGGACCTGATGCCCGCGCTGCTGGGGACGGCGCAGGCCGCAGGCCACGACTTCCTGCTGCACTACTGCGAGGCCCGGCTGCACGCCGTGCGCTGGTTCGACCGCCCAAGTGAGTGCCTCGACCTCAGTTGGGCCCTGGGGCGGGGGAGGGAGCTGCATGCATGCGCGCAGGGGCCCGGATGCAAGGCCTGGGGGTGGGAGACCCGGATGTGGGAATCCCTGGATGTGGGAATCCTGGGATGTGAGGACCTGGATGGAAGGCATGAGATGGGAAACCCCGGATGTAAGGTCCCGGATGTGAAGTCCCCGATGGGAATTCCCGGATGTGAGGTACTGGATGAGAATCCCTGGATGTGAGGCCCTGGATGTGAGATCCCGATGTGAGGCCTCGGATGGGAATCCCCGGATGTGAGGCCCCGGATGTGAGGTCCCAAATGGGAATCCCTGGATGTGAGGTCCCAGATGAGAATCCCCGGATGTGAGTCCCCGGATGTGAGGTCCACATGTGAATGCCCGGATGTGGCCCCCCCGGATGTGAATCCCCGGATGTGAAGCCCCAGATGTGAATCCCCAGATGTGAAGCCCCAGATGTAAGGTTCTGGATGTGAGGTTCCGGATGTGAATTCCCGGATGTGAGGTCCTGCATGTGAATCCCCGGATGTGAGGTCCTAGATGGGAATCCCCGGATGTGAATACCCAGATGTGAAGTCCTGAATGGGAATCCCTGGATGTAAGGTCTTGCATGTGAATGCCCGGATGCGAATCCCTGGATGTGATGTCCTGGATGTGAATTCCCGGATGGGAATCCCCGGATGTGAGGCCCCGGATGTTACTCCCCCACCCCCCGCAGGCCACACGGTGTGGAAGCTGCACTTCGCCACTCCACGCTTCGACCCGCCGGGCTCGGGCACCTGCCTCGGTTTCCCTGCCTGCGCCTGCTCGGGGCGGCGAATGACCCGCCACCGGCGGCCACTGCTCTTTGACCTGACGGCGGACCCAGGGGAGACTCGCCCGCTGCAGGGCCCGATGGCGACGCGCAGGCGCGTGGAGGCCGCGGTGGCCCGGATGCTGCGCATGCGCCGCCCCCTCGCGGCCCCGCCCCTCGCCCCTGCACACAACACCTGGAGCCCGCGCCTGCAGCCCTGCTGCTCGCCCGGACCGCTCTGTGCCTGCGACCACCTGATCCCCGACCTCTGACCCCGACCCGACCCCCAACCACCAACTTCCCTGGGGCTATGGCAGATCCTGGCCTGCGCCTCTCACATCCGGGGACTCACATCCGGGTATTAAACATCTGGGTATACTCAAATACAGAAATTCCCACATCCGGGGATTCCCACATACAGACTCTCACATCCAGGGATTCCTACATCCGGGGATTCCTACATCCGGGGATTCTCACATCCGGGGATTCTCACTTCTGGTGACACATCCGGGGATTCCCGGGGATGTATTTACACATCTGGGGAATCCTACATCCGGGGACTTTTACACCCGGGGATTCTCACAACCAGAGACTCTCACATCCGGGGACTTTTACATCCGAGGATTCTCACATCCAGAGACTCTCACATCTGGGGATTCCTACATACAGACTCTCACATCCAGAGATTCTCACATCCGGGGAGTCTCACATCCGGAAATTCTCACATCCAGAGATTCTCCCATCCAGAGATTCCCACATCCAGGGATTCTCATATCCGGGGATTCCCACATCCGGGGATTCTCAGACCAGGGAATTCCCACATCTGGGGAAATCTCACACCCGGGGATTCCCACATCTGGGGATTCTCGCATCCAGGGATTCTCACATCTGGGGATTCCCACAGCCGGGGATTCTCACATCCGGGGATTCCCACATCTAGAGATTCCTACATCCGGGGATTGTCACATCCAGGGACTTTTACATCCAGAGACTTTCACATGCGGGGATTCTCACATCTGGGGAACTCTTACATCCGGGGATTTTCACATTCAGAGAGTCTCACATCTGGGGATTCTCAGACCCAGGGATTCCCACATCCGGGGACTCTCACATCCTGAGCCTCTCATCCTGGACCTCCACCTTGGTCCTCCCATCCGGGGCCTTTTCCCAGCCTCCCATCTGGGGCCCTCTCACATCCGGGCCTATGTCCTCTAACTTCTCACACAATAAAACCTCATGAGCACCGCACCGCACGGCAGGGTCAGGGGTCACCGGGGTCAGAAGCCGGGCACTGGTCCTGCCTTCCATTTCAGGTCATTTCCGGTTGATGCTAGGATACAGGGCTGGTCCCCCCTTCCATTTCAGGCCACTTCTGGTCGTTGCTAGGGTATAGGACTAGTCTCACCTTCCATTTCAGGTCATTTCCAGTCATTGCTAGGGTATAGGACTACTCCCACCTTCCACTTCAGGTCATTTCCGGTCATTGCTAAGGTATAGGACTAGTCCCACTTTCCATTTCAGGCCACTTCTGGTCATTGCTAGGGTATAGGACTGGTCCCGCCTTCCATTTCAGAACATTTCCGGTCGTAATACAGGGCTGGTCCCACCTTCCATTTCAGGTCATTTCCGGTGGTTGCTAGGGTATTGGACTAGTCCCGCCTTCCATTTCAGGCCATTTCCGGTGGTTGCTAGGGTATTGGACTAATCCAACCTTCCATTTCAGACCATTTCCAGTGGGTTGCTAGGATACAGGCTTGGTCTTGCCCTCCTCTAGGACATCCCACCACCTAGATTCACACCTGATTGGCCTATTCCATGAAAGCCCTGCCCTCACTTTCCTAATTCACTTGTCATTGGTCCAGCTGTAAGACATGCCCTTTAGCCCCCCCACAAATCCAACTCGCTGCTGATTGGACCTCACACGACAGTCCTGCCCCTAACTACCTGAACTCGGATTCAGATTGGCCCAGCGGGATTGGAGAAGTGGGGTACCCGGATGTTGGCCCACTCTAAGGGGGGTCGGTGGTTGGGTGGATGGATGGGTGGATGACCAGGCCTGCGACCTCTTCCCCTTCTGTGCCTGTCCCAGGGGACCCCAATGACCTCTCCAGGGATTGACCCAGATGGGCCTATAGCTCCTTATGGCGGTAGGATAAGTCGAGGTTGGAGGTCTGTGTCTCCCTAGGCCTAGGATGCATTGCACCTGCACGACATCCGGGTCTTCTCTGGAGGGAGGGACCCATTGGCTTCCCCGGGGACTCCTCCAGCCACGCCCCTGCTCTGATTGGCTGACACGCCTGTCTCTCCATCCTTTGGCCCTGCCCAGGGAAGCTGGGGGTCCGGTCCCGCCTCTTCCTTGGGTGATATTGAAAGGCAGGGCATGCTGTCCATCATCCCTGGGTCCCGCCCCCTGCCAAGCCAATAGCTGGAGAGTCGATATGTGTGAAGCCACGCCTCTTCGTGGCTAGCTCTATGAATGCTGTGGGTGCCCATCACCCAGAAGTCCCGCCCACTAGTGAATGTATGGGCTCAGGGGCTGTCCTTCACTTCCAGGTCCCGCCTCCTGGCTGTTGGAAGGCCACAGGGGCTGTCTGTCTCTTCCAGGTCCCGCCCTCTGGCTGTTGGAAGGCCATAGAGGCTCTCTGTCACCTCCAGGCCCCGCCCAATGGCTGTTGAAAGGCCACAGGGGCTGTCTGTCTCCTCCAGGTCCCGCCCCCTGGCTGTTGTGTGGACATTTGTCCTGTCTGTCACCTTCAGACCACGCCCCCTTGTTGTATAATCATGTGTCCTATCTGTCATCTTCAGGCCACGCCCCCTTGTATTATCAAGTGTCCTGTCAACTTCAGGCCACGCCCCTTGCAATTAGATGGCGTGACATAAGTGTCCATGAACAGGGACAGGAAGTGCCCCTAGTCAAGACCAGAAGTTCTTGTATACTAGGGACCGGAAGTCCCCATAGTCAAGACCAGAAGTTGTTATATACTAGGGACTGGAAGTCTCCACAGTCAAGACCAGAAGTTCCTACACACTAGGGACCGGAAATGCCCTTCCCATCAGGACCGGAAGTTTCTATATACTAGGGACCGGAAGTCCCCAGTCAGGACCAGAAGTTCCTATATACTAGGGACTGGAAATCCCCACAGTCAAAACCGGAAGTCCCCATAGTCAATACCAGAAGTTCTTATACACTAGATACGGGAAGTTCCTCTACACTAGGGACTGGAAGTGCCCTTCCAATCAGGATGGGAAGTTCCTATACACTAGGGACCGGAAGTGTCCTTCCAATCAGGACCAGAAGTTCCTGTACACTTGGACCGGAAGTCCCCATAGTCAAGACCAGAAGTTATATACTAGGGACTGGAAGTCTCCACAGTGAAGACCGGAAGTTCTTACACACTAGGGACCGGAAGTCCCCATAGTCAGGACTGGAAGTTCCTATACACTAGGGACTGGAAGTCCCCAGTCGGGACCGGAAGTTGTTATATACTAGGGACCGGAAGTTCCCAATCAGGACCGGAAGTTCCGATACTCTGGACCAGAAGTTCACATACTGTCAGGAGCGGAAGTTCTCATGCAGACCGGAAGTCCCAATACACGCCTGGGCCCAGATCAGGAGGGGACCGGAAGTGGGGCGGCTGAGGGGGCGGGACTTACCCTGGAGGGTATCCGTGGATCACGTGTTCGTCACCAGCACCTGGGGTGGAGGGGGAGGAGAGACGCAGCCCTGGGAGCTCAGCCTCCACATCCGGGTCCTTACATCCGGGTCCCTACATCAGGGTACCCACATCCAGGTCCCTACATCTGTGATCCCATGTCTGGGTCCCTACATCCGGGTCTCTACATCCAGGAATCCACACTGGGGTCTCCACATCCGGTCTCTACATCCAGGTCTCCACACTGGGGTCTCCACATCCGGGTCTCTACATCCAGGTCTCCACACTGGGGTCTCCACATCTGGGTCTCTACATCCAGATCTCCACACTGGGGTCTCCACATCCGGGTCCATAAATCCGGGCCTCCACACTGGGTTCCCTACATCCGGGCCTCTACATCCAGGCCTCTCCATCTCCAGCCTCCACATCCGGGCCTCCCCCCTTCCATGTCCTCACCTCCTGTGCCTGGCGGGGGTTGGGGCTGGGGTGGAGGCTGGCGTCGGGAGGTAGATGTCTGCGGGAAGAGAGCGAGGGAGGATGGAGGCCGGCCTCTCCCCTCCCCTTACCCCCCTCCTTCCCCTGACCCCTGGCTCCCCCTGACCCCCCCTGACCCCGCTCACCTCCTTCCCGACCCGGAGGTCACGGCCTGGGCGGGTCAGGCAGCTGCGGGTACAGCCCTATGTGCCAGGAGTGGGCCGTGCCTCAGTTTCCCCACCCTGGGTGGGCCTGGTGTGTGTGTGGGAGGACCCCACTCATCCGAGATGGGCTTCGGGGTGGGATCTGTGGGCGAAGAGAGAGAGGGTGGTGACCCCTGACCTCCCCTGACCCCCCCCAACCCCTGATCCCAAGGCCTCAGGGGGTGGCAAAGGGTCACATGGGATTCAGGCCCACAGCTGGATCAAGGCCCCATGTGAGGCCTAGTGGCCAGGGTGAAGCCATGGGGGGGGAAAGGTGAGAGGTCAGGACTCACCGGGGTCATCCAGGGCGTCGGCGAGGTCAAAGTCGGCCTGGCCTGAGGGGGAAAGAGGACAGTTGTTGGGGACAGACGTATGGATGGGGAGACAGATAGACACAGAAACGAACAGACAGACCGAGAGGATGACACACGGACAGACAGACAGGCAAGGGATGGACAGATGATCAAGACAGGACAGACAGATGGACAGACAGAAGAAGCAGATGGACAGCCAGGTGGACAGACAGACCAAGAGGCAGACAGACAGAGAGGAAGACAGATGGACAGAGAGGAGACAGACAGACAGACACAGGACAGACAGACCCAGACAGAGAGACTGAGAGGCAGATGGACAGACAGACAGACAGACCAAGAGGATGACACATGGACAGATAGACAGACAGACAGAGCCAGAGACAGATGGACAGATAGACAGACAATGAGACAGACAGAGAGGAGATGGACAGACAGAAACATGGACACACACACATGGACAGACAGGGGCCCAGACACAGACTGACCTGCAGACAGACAGAGACAGACAGATGCAGAGACTGAGGGACAGACAGACAAACAAGGGATGGACGGATGACCAAGACCGGATGGACAGACAGACAGGAGAAGCAGATGGACATCTAGGTGGACAGACAGACCAAGAGGAAGACAGACAGACTGTGAGGAGACAGACAGACAGACAGACTGAAAGGAGATGGACAGACCGACAGAAGCAGATGGACAGAGACACAGACAGACAGACTGAGATGCAGACGGACAGACAGACAAAAAGGAAGACAGATGGACAGAGAGGAGACAGACAGACCGAGAGGCAGGCAGACAGACATAGACAGACCAAGAGGAGATGGACAGACAGACAAACTCAGAGAGAGACAGACCGACACAGACAGACTGACTGACTGACAGACAGATGGACAGATGGACAGACAGACCCAGAGACAAACAGATAGACAGGGACACAGGCAGACTGACAGATGGACAGATGGACAGACAGACAGACAGACAGACCGAGAGGAGACGGAAGACAGACAGAAAGACAGACACAGAGACACACAGGCCAACAGGACAAGGCTCCGGCCTCCAACAACCCGGCCCAACCTGAAAATCCACTGCCACCTCCCCACCCCACAACCCCAGCCCAGCCCCGGGCCCTGATGGGGGGGAACCTGAAACCACCAGGAGAGGAGGGGGGGACACTAGAAACCACCAAAGAGGGGAGAACTACAAACCACCAAACTGGGGAGAGAACTAGAAACCACCAAACAGGGGAGAACTAGAAACCACCAAAAAGGGGGGGAGAACTAGAAACCACCAAAGAGGGAGAACTAGAAACCACCAAACTGGGGGGGAAGTAGAACCACCAAGGTGGGGGAACTAGAAACCACCAAGGGGGAGAAAAACCACCAAGGAGGGGGGAACTAGAAACCACCAAACTGGGGGAGAACTAGAAACCACTAAACAGGGGGAGAGAACTAGTAATGACCAAACTGGGAGGGAACTAGAAACCACCAAGGTGAGAAAACTAGAAACCACCGAGGGGGAGAGAACTAGAAACCACCAAACTGGAGGAGAACTAGAAACCACCAAGGAGGGGGAACTAGAAACCACCAAGGGGGGAGAACTAGA